CTCTTATATACTTATATATATATATATATGATGACCAAAGCATTGCATTATTATATGAAGCATAATATTTATACATATTATATATATATATATATATATATATATATATATATTATGCTTAATAGTGCAATGCTTTAGTCATTTATATTAATTGTTTTATCTAGTAGTCATTAGTTGGAGGTACACACCTTTGGTGGCAGTGGTTTAGACTGCTTTTTGTGCTTTCCTGGCAGCTAATAGTTTATTTAATGACTTGTTAATGTTGTGTTTGCTTCATTTATTAAATGTTCATTATATTTTGTAAATCGTATCTTTTGCCTGAAAAAATAATTAATAATACTATATTTAGAATGACTATTTTTCGATAATTATGGTATACATCCGTTAATAAAAATATAAATGTATATTTTTGTGCTTGGCAGACTTTGCAAAATCAGAATATGAAGAAGCTCTTGATTTCAAACACGATAAAGAGATAACGGTGGCAAGAGGAGAGTGCATCAAAGCATCTTTTAAATCAAATTATGAACCAAATCATGTGTGTTTCCAAAAAATGGTGGGACACAATTATCCGTTTTGTACTCTATCATTAGTATCATGTACTTGGCCAGAAAACAAATTAAGGAGACTTTATCCACCTGACGAAAAATTGAAAGATACAATAACAGAGAACTGTAATGTTAATGACAGCCATGGACCAGTCGAATTTACGTTCGAATTAAAGGGACGTATTAAAACAGGTGCAGCTGCAGAAGGATACCTTACATTTAAAGACGTAACCGACGACGTTGAAGGACAATATGTATACTTAATGCAGATAAAACACGAGAAACGTTTGACTGGTGTGCTACCAAATATAAAACACACATTTTTTGGAAAAACGTGCATTCAACTCTCAAGTAAGTCAGCCTGAAGTAGGTAACCATACAGCCCGCACAACCAAAGTGAAATTTATGTACAGTAGTTCAATTAAACAATGCTTTATCATTTTACTTTGATGCTACATTCCCAATCATAAAACAGTGTAATACAGTATAAGTCTATCCTTTTTTATATAGCGCGCTATACGCACAACTAAACTCAAGATTGCGTTGCCGCATAATTAATTCTGTCAATAATAATAATAATGCTTGAATAATTATATAGCGCCAATTTCAAATTATACGATAGATCAAAGGCGAGTGTTATTACCCTTGGTCATTGGATAACATACAATGGCAAACAAGCAAAAAGTGCAACCTTCTCTGCTCCCTGGAGAGTATGCCTAGTCGTGTGCTACAGTCTAGTCTTAGCGCACGAAACTAGTGCATTCAATGGCTCAACATCCTACAGGTACCCATTTATACTGGGTAGAGAGAGACAACGTAGGTAGAATGCATTGCTTAAGGACACAAGCGACTTCTACAGCGAGAGTTTCGAACCCCTGACCTCGAGGTAGGGAATCCACGTCACTGGAACGTATGCGGAAATTCCATAGTATGAAAAATATCAAAATTGCATAGCATGAAATATATTAGAGCATTAGGCACTCGAACCTCCTTATATATATATCGCCTTGACCAATTACACAAGTGACCTGCAGAGCAAAATTCCCGAGCCCCAAGACTTCAAGTTTCAGAATTTTGAGGCACAACCATTATGCCAACCGCTTCCACGTATATAAGCAGTATATAACCTTATTTATAAATATTATATTATTTCTTTTATTTAGATCCCGTTTACAGGAGCGACGTCGACAAGAAACAGTTCATCAGGTGAGATTGTGGTTTGATTAGCTGTACTGTTATATTGCTATCCATTAGGCCAACTTAAACAAGAAATGCCTATAAAAAAAAAACCAAAAAAAAAAAAAAAACGCCGCGACATCTTTACCTTATTCAATTTGTTTATAAAACTAATTCTAAATTTATAATATTTGTGAATTTTGTTATGACATAGCATATAATTTACCGTATTGATTGCCTCAATTCTTCCATTTGGATTTTTTTCATTATAATACTTTGATTAATGTTAATGATGATAATAATAATAATAATAATAATAATAATAATAATAATAATAATAATAATAATAATAATAATAATATTATTATTATTATAATTATTATTATTATTATTTTATTTATTTGTATTCATCCCCCTCCCCCATTTGCTTGGCTAATCCCTTCTACTACTGCCGCCAGTGTGTGGTTATATTTTTATGGGTCGATAAAGCATGGGTACTGTACGATATTTCGATAATAGATAACCCACCCTAACCCTCTTCAGCGTACACCACCGAATATTTCGACACAATCTTCGCAGCCGCTATTTGGTTCCTGAGACTCTTTTGGTAACTGCGCATGCTAGAAATGGTTCGATAACGTCACTTACTCAATGCACATGCTCACTGGCTGTCTAGAATTTTCAAGCGCATTCTCACTGTGTTTTTATAGATAATTCACGGAGGCTATTCGGTAATTCGCATGCTATTGCTTAGTTCTTAATTCCAATTTCTTCGTAGTAAAAGTTACCGCTATCCTACAGTTTCTTAATGACTGTTTCCTATTGATCGACAGCCAGGTGCGGCGCGAAAAAAATACTTGTTTAGCGTCACATCTCAACCAAATTTAGGTGGGCAAGGGCATTTTTCTTTTTCTGTTTACAATCCATCTACCGTATCTGTAATCGACGAGTCTCCGTTAAATAAGATGCCTAGCAGGCCATGCCCAAACTTGGATTGCATAGGCTACAAGCTCAAACACACCAAGCATGATCCTATATTTGTATTTTCAACATCATGAAAAAAGTAAATAAAAACAAGGAATTGTTTCAATTAAAACTTCGATTTTTTTTTTCAATTGTATTCTAAACAACAAGAGTGTTAACATTTTCAACAGGCCTACAATAAATATTACACATGGTTAGTGAAAACGAATTATGAGTTTATATAACGCATAATGTATAGACAACTTTTTACAAATGTAAGTAAAATAAACTACGTGAGAATTGTCTTTATGATTTAGTTCTAGTAACACATTTATTTTTTACTTAATGTATTATTAATTTGCAATAAATTAAATAATAATTAACTTAAAATAAATAATTTTATTTATGTATTGGTGTGCCTTTTGGTATTTAGTTATAGTTTTACAATAAGTTAGAAAAATAATTTATTCAATTGCATAAATGATTATAGGCCTAATTGTCTTTTTTTACCTTTGTTATTTGTTTTATTTTATTATTTTTGTGATCGATTCTTGAGTTTTTTTTATATTTTTTCTGTTTTGTGTATGTATTTTATATTCTTGTAAACAATTTTAATCCAACTCCGTGAAAATAGAGTCTTTGATGATTCACTAATTCATGATGATGATTATTATTATTATTATTATTATTATTATTATTATTATTATTATTATTATTATTATTTTCAGTCCAATTGGAATTGTCCTTAGTGATCAAGTGTATGCATTTGCGCTAAAAATGGAAAAAGAAAAAAAAGAAGAACAAAGAGAAGATATAACAATTTTACGCTATATTACGTGTGCAGGAAAATTTCATTCTGAAGACAACAAGATTACTATTAGATGGAACGATTTTTCCAAAGTTTTACTTAAACCAGAGTAAGATGTAATATACATTTATTCGGTATATCTTGCAAAAGCTATAGAAGGCCATCATTGCAAGGTCATGTGTAGTTATAGTCCTATGGAGGGTTTGTTGTGTTTATAACCTGACCAAATAATTTTCCGGGAATGGGGAGACGAACAGCAATTGAGGTCTTTTAGTCTGAGAATTAAGGGTTGTGGGGGATCTATTACCTATTTGGGACCAGAGGGATATGTGCTTTGTTGAATGTTTCATACGTGGTTGAGTATTTGGTTGCTGCCGAGGGGCGAGCTAACACCGACTTCGCCAATGTTTATTGAATTAGAATTTATCACTGTGATAGAATGTATTAACTAAATTGAAATTGTTTACATCTGCAGGGGTGGATCATAACCCGTTAGGAAAGAAGGGGCGTGAATGTGCGAATTGAATAGCCTTATGGAATTAGCCCCTGGTAGGGGTGGAAAGGGTAAATCCCCTTTAAACCTCTTGCACCATAATTTTAATTTGAGTTTGTATTTGATTGATTTTTAACATTTAGCATGGTGATTTTCTGATAAGCTTTGACAAAAATTACTCTAAATCCCCCGCTGATCTTTCAGAGAAGAGTTGTTGAGCTTCGTTGCACTACCAGGTCGGTATCATTCGTATATCTTCCTTGGATTTATAAATGTATCTAAAGACAGACGATTGCTAGGGAAGGTGTTTTCTTTCCTGCCAGACGGAAGCTTTGATTTAATTAACAACATCGTTGAGACATTAGAATCCAAGGGACCTGTTGAGATTTTAAAATTTGGTGAGTTGTTAGCATAAGAAAAGAAAGTTTAGATAATGATAACATAAAAACAAATTTTAGTAAAAATAATGATCCTCAGATCACTTTGAATAGATAGGCTTATCGTTTGTTTACAGTTTTCTCACCTATCCATGAATGGACCTCACACTCACCTTTTTTTTGCAGAAAATTTGCTAATATAACAACAGGATATTTTAGTAAAACTTTGGCCTAGGCCTAATGAGGTTGTTGCGGTGGGGGTGATAATGATGATGTTGGTGGCCCTGATGATATTGGTGGTGCTCGTGGTGTAACTTCGCAATTCGTTAGGACTGATGGGGGACGAACATATAAGTGGTGGTGTCAGATAATTAGATGTGAGGTGAGGGAGGGCCGGCCGGGGGAGGGGCTACGGCCAATGGCTCTTTAAGAGGCGTGTACCCCTAGTTTACCAATGCTCTCATAAATACGCCACTGCTGATGTGTAGGCCTAGTGTTGTTACTAACCAGATCAATTATCATCGGAAAAACGTAGACCTAGGCATTTGAATAGAAAAGGATTGTTTTACAGTTTATTGACATGCCCCAAATTAGTACAAACAGTATAGTTTCACAGTTACTTTTTTTTAATGATACAGATCACGATAGGTATTTGAATAAAGTTTAAGCCTACCAGCTGCTGGTGCTGATGATTATGATGAAGGGATTGCTGAGGATGATGAGAATGAGTAGCGAATATTTTTTTTCTTTAATTTATATTTCTCATTTCTCATTTTACCGTCATCTATTATAGATCCTCATAGCGGTAAAAAGCTATCAAATGGACGAATTATCGTCGGTGGCTGGATAAAGCGTGGCAAGTATAATTTTGACAAGCATATTAATTCGTATAGTAGTGTCTTCAGCCTTAGCTAAAGATATGCATTATTCGATGGTCAGGCTATATTAAAAGCTTACAAAATAAAATGATGAAAAGTTTTACATCAATTGTAGGTTTTCAGATTTGATCCCCAGTTAATCATTCACCGCATATTATGCTACACGAATACAAATATTAAATAAAGACGGATATAATTTTAAAAATCTACGGTACCATTTAAATCTACTCGCAAGACATTTGGTAATGTTTTGGAGCAAACTGTGGAACCCCTTTGACAATACATCACTATGCTCTTTTAAAAGGACTTACGGTATCAATTTCCGTTTCATTGATTTGATCCTAACCACCAAAAAGAAAAATACTTACTAAATAAATGTTGGTGTGACACGAGTAACGAAAAGAAAACTTTAACGTATCTGTATTTGTGGTCATTTTCGTAATGTGTGACAATAGTATATAGAAATAATATACTTTTCCACTACTGCAAATTGAATACCAAACACTGCTACCTAACTGTATAATATTGTTAACTTTTGTTATTCTGTCTCTTATACACATCTGTATAAACGTGTTTTTAATTCAAAACACAGTATATTTTTTGTAATTATGTGACTGTACGTATTTCGAATAAAGGATATCAGAAGGGGAAAAGAATAGATGAATTAAAGTTTACTGGCTCTACGTCTTCTAGCGGTAAACTTGACGATGTTGAAAACCAAGCACATGGTAAGCAAACAAAGTTTATATGTTATAGGTCTGTTTTATTAATTATTCATACAAATCCATTAATATTAGCTTTTACATACACATTATAGACAAACATACACACGTAAATAAATCATATCTACACAAAAAAGAAAAATAATTAATAAATAAATGTTGGTGTGACACGAATAACGAAAAGAAAGCTTTAACGTGTCTGTATTTGTGGTCATTTTCGTAATGTGCGACAATAGCATATAGAAATAATATAAATTTTCCACTACTGCAAATTGAATACCAAACACTGCTACCTAATTGTGTAGGCCTAATATTGATAAATTTTGTTATTAAATACATAAATTAACAAGTGCAAGAACGTTTTAATCAATAAAACTGAATTATCATAACAATTACACCGGTACATGATCATTATACAAATTCTATTTAATCCATTTTAAAAGTTTCTCTATTGTACCCCTTTACCTCTTGTACATAATACATTGAAATGTTACCTAATAACTAGACGTGACTGTTATTATATACCAGTATAAACGTGTTTTTAATTCAAAACGCAGTATATTTTTTGTACTTATGTGACTGTACGTATTTCAAAAGGATATCAGAAGGGGAAAAGAATAGATGAATTAAAGTTTACTGGCTCTACGTCTTCTAGCGGTAAACTCGACGATGTTGAAAACCAAGCATATGGTAAGCAAACAAAGTTTATAAGTTATAGGTCTGTTTTATTAATTATTCATACAAATCCATTAATTTTAGCTTTTACATACACATTATAAACAAACATACACACGTAAATAAATCAATACATATCCAATCAATACATACATATGCCGATTTACAGACATATACATATTAAATTACAATACATATTGTACATTTAAGTTTATATTTCACTTGTAGATCTTGTGACGTCAGCGATGCTTGTCTAAAATGTGAATATGTTCCTATTGCTTGAAATAGAAAACAACATCAAAAGCAGTGCAGCGCATGATCAATAGCCTTTTACCCTCATTCGGCCATTCCCTTACTATTTCGAATGTTGTATTGATGTAGGCCTATATGTGTGATATATAAGGACGAAAAACTCGCTACCTCTCCCACCAAAATCCAAGTTTACTAACTCGTCCTCTATGTCTTATATCGTATAATCAGTAAGTAAATTTCCCCCTTTCGATACCCATTTTATTTGTTCCTATTTCGTGGTCAGAATTATTTTATTACGTTTAATATTTTTTGAAATACGGTACTTCCCAACTTGTTGCCATAGAATTTAAAATATTTAACAAATTTGAGTTTTTCCCTTTTCGCGTTCGTTAAGAATATGAACCGTTTATCATGTGGACAGATGACGAAATTCATTGGAATTTAGGAGAAAATCTGAAGATTGAAGAAGCTGAGAAAAATATGCGGATACAGGTAAGCTACCACTACATACAGTGTTACTATTTTGCCATTACTAAAGAAATTCTTACAAATTACTACTAGGTACTACTGTTATTTCTATGATTATGACCGACTATCATATACTAAGTTGAGTAAGGACAGAATTTCACTGTCCAGACGCGTGCACACTGCTCTGGAAGAAATATATTGTAGAACCATTCTTTTAAATTATTGGTATATTTTGAGTTCCTATTTATATCCATTCAAATATCATAAAAAATACTTTTTTTGACTCTACAAAGATAACACATTATGATAATTCATTATTCAAATTACGTTAGTACTATACAGGGAAAGGACCAGCGGAGTACGGTATTCAGTATGTAGGATAATAAAGTGGAACATAACACTTCAGTGAGTGCGGTTGATACAAATGCGTATATTTTCACTAAATATAATGGGATAAAATATAATATAAAGTGACTATGTTAATAACAATAATAAATCAATTCCTGACGAATAAGGAATGCTATATCCATCACATTTTAGCATGTATTGTATAATCCGTTTTTACCCTTTACCAGTTGGCCTATCTTACTTGCTTTAACATATCATAAACAAAATTATTATTGGCTCGTTCTTTATTCAAAAGGTAATTTGACTTTCATTTGCAAAAGGTCTATCTAAAATTAGCAGACGTAGTAGTATTCAATATTATGCTTGAGAATATTTTGTTTTATACGGCAATATTTGCAGCATTTGGCTGACTTGGCTTCACAGAATGTTTATTTAAATGATACTCTTGAGTGGATCCATAGGGGTGATGGTCGTCAACGTCCAACGTCCAGAACGCAGTACATTATTCGGAAAAGAGCAGGGAGTTGCATCTCCCGGGGGTACTGCACAATCATCACCAGAACGATTCCACTGGAAATAAATCTTCTCTTAGGCTTTCGTGGGCTATCAACCACTGAATAAATCCAATCCAATCCAATCCAATTATTTAATTAATTAATTAATTTAATTAATGGTTGATGGTGACCCTTGACAGTTTTTATTTTCGTTTTGCATTTTTCTGTCATTAATTACAGTTTCATTATAAACAGTAAGAACAATGATAACAACCACAATCAGTACTATGTAAAAAAAATGTGTAATAATCCTGAACCAAGTTTGTCTTATTACGTAAAGAATAACGTATAATCGAAAATTACCGTCCATCACGCTCACTAAGATCATTATCTAAAATGCTTTTACAAATACCAAAGACTTTAACCACTACCTATGTCCAGGGAGCCTTTCCATCTGTAGGTTTTAGGCTTTGGAATGAACTTCCTCTCCATATTCATTGTACTGACTCAGTTGAGTTCTTTAAGGCCTTGCTCAAAAAAACATTTCTTTTTTTCTAAATCATAAATCACTTTTTTCACTTTGTCACGATTTTTATTTAATATCTTGGCCGCAGTCTGACCGTGCACTGCTTTCCACCACACATAATTTCTACTATATTGATTATCATTTTTTGTTTTAAGTCCTTTTTTGTTATTGTTAAGCGCATTGGATTGACGCTTTCCAATATTTTATTACTGCTCACTGTCATAAAGGAACACAATCGCATTTAAACTTGTTTTGTTTCTTTATTTTCTAAGAAAACCCGGTCAACAGCCATGATCGAAAAACAACAACAACCTTGCGCTCTCGCCTAAAAACTATTATAGCGCCCCCAACATTTCAACTATTGTTTTAATTAAATAATAATTTTTCTTCTATTCATTCTCCCCTTCTTCGACATACTACAGTTTGTCGACATTTCGCATTAATTTTAACATAACATAATTTTCACAATTTTACATCATCATGGTATTTGTTTAACATAATAATAACATTGAATACCTGGTATATATGATTTATGAAGCACCAATAGCATACATGTACAAACACTTTTTAAACTTTGTGAACACTGCTTTTATGAATGGTATATATGAATCCAGTACAATCTAATGAACTATGGCATGAAATACATTACTATGACCTTTACAATTTCACTGAAATTTGTTCACACTAGCTTTATGCATTTCTTTTTTACTTTACATTATGGTACATAATATTGATCCCTATTAATTATTACTATCATATGTTTACTTTATGTTCCATCGGACCGTTGATAGACATTTTAACAATTTTTTTTTAATTTTTTTATTTTATTTATTTATTTATTTTTTTTAACAACAATTATGAGCATAACACAAACTCAATTACAAGTCCATAGTATCCCCAACTATTTTGTTACCACAGTACAATTTTTTACTACATCTTCCTACACTTGTTCATTCCATGATCTCTAAAGGACATACCTTATTAATCCCTCTTACTATTTCTCCATTAGCAGTTTTAACCTTAACTACCCTAACATGACCGTCTGGTCCTGGGAAAACTTCTACCACTCTACCTAATGGCCACCGGCCGCGCATAGTTTCCTTCTCGACTACCAAAACAACATCATTTACTTCTATGTCTCGTTTCATCTCCTTCCACTTATTTCTCTTATTCAATGCAGGTAGCCACTCCTTCAACCACCTGTTCCAGAAATGCCTCATCAGCTCTTGAACACGGCGCCACCTTTTCCGTGGGCTAAATTTAGTTGTATCCAAGATCTCCTCCGAGGCAAACATTCCACCCATCTGCCCATGCAGGAAGTGATTAGGAGTTAATAGTAAAGCATCTTTCCCTGAAGCAGTTTGGTATGTCAATGGTCGCGAATTCATAATTCCTTCTGCGCCTACAAATGCCGAGTGCAATTCTTTATCAGTGATGTCTGCATTTTTAAGTATTGCATAAATTGCTTTCTTCGCAGACTTTATTAAGCTCTCATGAGCGCCGCCAAAATGAGTAGTCAACGGTGGTATAAACCTCCACTTAATACCTTTTTCCACTGTTGCTGTTTGTATTTTCTTGTGGTCTAACAACTTAATTAATTCTTTTAACTCCCTATTCGCTCCTACGAAATTTGTCCCATTGTCAGATAAAATCTCTTTTGGCTGGCCTCTCCGACTCACAAAACGATAAAATGCGTTTAGGAATGTATCAGTGTCCAATCCGTAAGCTATCTCCAAATGGACAGCTCTAGTTGACAAACAAGTGAATAGACACAAATATCTCTTTGTTCTGACCTTGCCTCTGCCTTGAATTGTCAGAAATGGTCCTGCATAATCTACTGCCGCTCGGGTAAACGCCTTTAAACTATCCATCTTAGTCCTAATTTCAGGAAGTGGAGCCATGATTTGTTCGCCTATTTTTGCTGTTCGTCGCTTACATCCCATGCAGCTCCTCTCACAATCTCGGATTTCTTCTCTGTTATGAATTATCCAATATCTTTCCGATAACAGTGATAATATATGATTTGTTCCAGCTACATGTTTACCCAAGTCATGATACTTCCTTACAATAAGTTTAGTGACTGGATGCTTTCTAGGCAATATGATTGGGTATCTGACGTCATGTGGCAAGGCGTCAACCAAACTTAAACGTCCTGTCATGCGCAATACTCCGTCTTCGTCTACTGTAGGTGTTAATGTACTCAATACACTATTAGATCCAACAATACCATTTTCCTTTAAGTTCCTTTATGTCATTTGGGAATGATTCTTGTTGCGCTTTTCGTATTATGCTCAGTTCCGCATACTGGATCTCTTCATGCTCCAACCGCCCATAGACCCTGTAATTTTTGTTGGATCGACAATTTGTTATGAACCTATGAACATAAGCTGTTATTCTAATCAGTCTAGACCAACTTGAATACCGTTTTGGATCCAGTCTCCAATCATCATCTATGTTTAATGGCCCAACTTGTTTTAAGAAGGAACGCACACATTTTCTTTGTTCGGTGACGCTTCCACTTTGCTCTATTTTGTTTACTGGCCAACGTTCTTCAGACTCCATTAAGAATTCTGGTCCATTCCACCACATTTTATTGACTTTCAAACTCTCAACTGTAGTACCTCTTGAGGCAACGTCGGCGGGATTGGACTTCGTTGGTACGTGACGCCACTGGTTTGGGTTGGTCTTCTGTTGTATCTCACCTATCCTATTTGCCACAAAGGGCTTGAAAGATCTACTACGACCTCGTACCCACCAGAGTACATCCATACTGTCACTCCAAAATGTAACCTCCTTTATATCGTAATTCAATACAGTTACAATCGATATAGTAAGTTGTAGCCCTAACATAGCTGCCATTAATTCTAATCTGGGGATGCTCATGGATTTTAGTGGCGCTACTCTGGTTTCTGATGCTATCAATCGCACTGTCTTTTGTTCACCATCAGAGCTTCTTAAATATACAACTGCTGCATACGCATCGTTTGAAGCATCAACGAACGTGTGAATTTTTTGATCTTTGTCAGTAGTAAATTTTATACATCTTGGAACTTCTAATTTCTGTAGATTTTGTAAACCACTCAACCAGTCCGCTACACCGTTTGCTACATTTTGTGGTACAAGTTCATCACAAGATACTCCCAGTGTCCAGAGCTCCTGGAGCATTATCTTTGCAGAAATAATCACTGGTGATATAAAACCAAGCGGATCAAACAATGTCGCAATTTTACTTAAAATATTTCTCTTTGTCATGTTTTCTATAGACCCCCCTGGTCCTCTGAAAACAAATACATCACTTTCAGCTTTCCACATTAATCCTAATGTTTTTACTGATGGCGATTCACTTTCATTTAATTTCAGTTCTTTGGCTCTTTGGTCTTCAGGTATCGCCTCCAAAACTTCCTTAGAATTAGATAACCATTTTCTCGCCTTGATACCAGCTTTCCCCCATAACTCCATTAGTTGATTGTACAACTCAACCGCTGTTTTCACATCATTCACTGAGTCCATGCTATCATCCATATATGTACTCATTAATACTGTTTCTGCTGCTAGAGGATACCACCGTTCATGTAACTTAGCATTTTCTTGTGCAACCTTCTGGGAAATAAATGGCGCCACATTAACTCCAAATACTAATCTATTAAATTCATATAACTCTGGCTCTTTACTCTCATTTAGATCTCGCCATAAAAACCTAAACATTTGCTTATCTTCATTAGCCAACTCTATTTGTAGATACATTTCAGATATGTCACAGACCACAGCTACTGAATTTCTTCGAAATCTCAATAACACATCGAATAGATTATTTTGTAATTTTGGTCCGTTATGTATGACATCATTTAGTGACACTCCACGATACGGAGCAGAAGCATCATACACTACCCTGACTTTGGTTGTTTCTCTATCTAGCTTAACTACAGGAAAGTGTGGAAGGAACCACTGCTGTTCAAGATTATGTTTTACTTCTGGATTCACCTTTCTTATATACTCTTTTTCCCGATAACTATCCACGACCTCTTGGTATGCAGCTCCCAAGACTGTATCTTTTTTCAAACGTTTCTCTAAATTTGTGAGTCTCTTCTCCGCCATTTCGTAGTTGGTTTTAGGCATTTATCTTTTCTCATCTTCCTTCCATGGAACCTTGACTTGGTACCTTTCTCCATT